TATTCGCTCAAAGCGCCCAAAGTTGTCCATGTATTTTATATGAAAAAGAAACCACTTTTCATATAATGTAATGTACACACAATATGTACTTGTTTGTATCCCTGCATTCGCCTAATGAGAAACTCTACTTTTGATTACTAACATCACCCTTCTATTTCAAGTCAAGGAATTTTTGGTAATACATATATTAATAGCTATCTACACAAGTTCGCAGGTAATTCACGAAATTTTGGTAAAATTTACAGCTTAAATGAAACTTCAAATTAGCACTTAATTGCATGTGAGCAATGTTTATGTGTAAGTATACGTACTGCCAAAAGTAGTCATATGTCTGTGTGAAAACAAATGATATGTATATACCTACACTTAGCGCAAGCAATTACAACGAATGTAAATAATCAAGTACAAATAAATAAATGATTATTACAAATTTAGTGGCAGTGTGAGGGGCTGAAGAACGTACATACATAACTAACATTATTGAGGATGGCTATGTTGAATTTTGTATACATACATACGAGTATACATATCGTCGTTTAAAGTACAAAACCGCGTATCGTCATTCTACAAAACCGCGTAACTGATATTTGCTGCCAAAAATTGGATTTGCTCACACAAGCTCTTGGCTCAATCCTTACCCATTCGTCCCGAAATATACCAGCCAGAAATGCGATTGCTTTATAAAAAAGAGAAACATTTTGAAATATGAGTGTTTTTACTTTCTAGAAAATAATTTATTCAACCTCACATATGCGGTTTTTTATTTTGTTGATATGCGGTTTTGTACTTTAAACGACGATATGTTTCTATATGTTGTATGTGTGAATGCTTTGGTAACAACGCGCTGAAAAATTAGCTATTTTCCTCCGCTAGAAAGAATTTGTGAATTAACGCAGAAAAAATTTAAAAAGGTTTAGATATTTGTGGGTGAGAAAGTCTGTTGCTGTTGCAATTTTTATAATTTTTTTTACAATTTATTAAACATTCAAATTAATGTAAGGCAATTATAAACTAAGTTCAATATTGCAATATGATTGCAAAATCTTGTTAATATTATAAATGTGAGTGAATGATTGAGTTTGTAAGTGAGTGAGTGAGTAAGAAAGGGAGAAGTAGATGGATGAGTGTGTGATTGAACAAATGAGTGAATTAATGAATATGAATATTAGTGAGTGAATAGAAAAGTGAGAAGGGGAGTGAATAAGTTTAGGATTAAACAAATGAGTGTGTGATTGAATTAATGAGTGAGTGAAAGAGTCAATAAGTGAGTGAGTGGGTGATTTAGTGAGAGAGTGAATGAATATGTTTCTTAATTATTCACGCTAAAGCTGAATTGGATACACATTTTACACGCAGATAACCTGCACTAACATACATATATGTAGGATATTTCTTTAACCCTGCATCACTATTGTCAGGGTGTAAAGCAGCCAGTAAGTTCAATTTCTTATATAATGTAAATGTTTTAAGAACAATCGTAAAAAAGTTTAGACGTTATCCTCATTTACATATTTCTGAATGTCTTAGGGTATATAAATGTATTATACGAAAAGCCGATGTTTTCATAAAAGCGGGTTTAAAAGAAAATTGGTTGTATTACACTCATTATATTAGTAGCGTTATGACTTTTCTGGGTGCTTAACACACAAAGTGAGTAATTGAGGTGCATTTTTTATGCAAACGAAACAAGAAAAATAATTAAGAAACAATTATTAAACAATTACTTACTCGCTGTTCTTTCAGCTCTAACTTTATTTTCAGAATATATTTAAGGAAGTTGCAAAAATTTTTATTCTATTTAATTTATATATAAGTCACGTGAAATATTACGATTCGGCTATCAAACGGAAGAGTTTTAAGTAAGCAGGGTTCTTAAACTTCCGTTACTAACATGAATTTTACAACACGGTTACTAACATCGCTTCCTCAGACCGAAGTGTAGAGAGTGTTAATTTCTTCACATTAATTACATGTGTTTGGATTGGATATTTATTCTCATTCTCAGCTCTTGTTTTAATCAATATCTAGTAAAATAAACATAACAAAACCAAATAGCAAAATTTCATTAAATACTATTTAAAATAACACGTTAACAAAAATTCGAGTAAAGTAATTAATTTTTAAATAAGTCCATAAAATAAATTTTTTATATTTATATGAATAATTGGTCTGCATTCTCGGCTTGAAATAGACAACTTTGCTTCAAACACAGGAACCTTCCGCACTCAAACCCTATACTAACATTGGCCTCACAGACCGAAAAAGGAATAAAACACAAAATAGCAGCGACCGGCATCAACAAGATCACTAATCAACCAAAATATATACAAAGAAAACAGTTCAAAAAACTGAACTCTGTTGTACAGAAAGCTTTAAGAATGTTTTCAGTATGTGAGACAGTATTATAGTAACGAAAGGTAAAGCTACATTTGAAGAGAAATGGTGAATTCAGCTTCAGTTATAAAATAAATTAAATACTGCAATATGCTAATAAACGAAAAAGTTTCAAATTAAACTGCTTTTGTTATAAAAAAATCTCAAAGTTAAATTTCAAAAATATTTCCTATAGGGTTGCCATCTTGAGCTTTATGTAAATTCGTCAGCATAATCCTTCTCTGTCGGGAAAAACTTAAGAATATAAAGAAGACGTTCTAATTCACTAACGCAATTTTTTATTTATTTTTTTTATTAACGGATACAAATACTTTAAGTTGCGTTTAAATGTATCTAAATACTTATTACGCAAACTTTAGAAAAAAAAAATTATTCAAAAGTCTGATTCCCATCTTTAGCTATACAAGTCAGGAAAGATGAAGCTGCCTTCAAATTCTAGCACAAATATAGTCAAGTCCTTTTTTAATAACTGCACCACTTGAGACACCGAAAAAACTATAACATAACCTTGTTTCAAACAAATTCACGACCAAAACTACAGCTTTACACATCTACCGCTTTTCCAAACAAAATTAATATCAAGTATCATATTTTTATCACTCCTTTACTTTTCTTTTGCAGAAACAAAAACCTGTTCACCCGATGAGTATTCATGTAAATCCGGCGAGGGTGAATGCATTCCATTAGCTTGGATGTGTGATCAGAGCAAAGATTGCTCCGATGGCTCCGATGAGGCTTCATGCAGTAAGAGAATTATAAAAATCAACAAAACTTCAAAATTTTGTGTTAAGAATACTATTCAACTTCTGAGTGGAAGATCTACCTATCTCGACAGCCAGTTTGAAAACGCCCTAACTTAAAAAAACTTTCAAGAACGCCCTATTTCAGAACTTTATAGAAAAACAACCTATCTCAAAATTTGGTTGAAGACCGCCCAATGTCACTTCGAAATGTATTCAAAATGTCCTGAGGTATGGCGTTTTTGAAACGAATTCTGAAATAGAACGTTCTTGAAAAGTTTTCTGAAATAGGGGGTTTTCGAACTGGCTGCCGAGATAGGTCGATCTTACACTCAGCAGTCGATATGTAGTCTCCTAAATACCTACTTGTTTCGTACATATTTCTCTTCGTTATTCAAACAATTGCTCTTCTTTTGGTTGCATTGCGTACTTTTGTACTTTTTCTGTACTTATTCCAACTTTCTTTTGCGTATAAGTTTTTGGGTGTTTGGTTGTATTTCACTATCGTTTCGCAATTGAAAAGGCTTTTGCTGTTATTACTATCAAGTATTTGGTTGCAACATGTGGTTTATGTGTATGTACGAGTACATAGATGATTATAACTTTTCTAATAAAAGTTTTGTATTTAAAATTTAATTTGTTGTTTTTAGTATTCACGTAATTTAAAAAGCCTCCTATTTTCATGCGGTAGCGGTTTATTGTTAAAATATGATTTCTGGTGTTGGTTAACTGGTGCGATTAAGGGCTAACTTTATAGTGCGTAGTTAACTCACAGTTTTTGTACCGAAGTTACTACGCCCTGTGAGTTTGGCCCTAAAACGTTTACCGAAATTTAGTTTATACTCCCTATTATTGTTTTTTTTTTTATTACATTTTTTGTTATCGCTTTATTTTCTATTTTTTATTTTATTTGATTTGATTTAATTTGAATTTACTTGATTTTGTTTTGCTTATTTTATTTTCTATTATTTTTTTATTTTATTTTATTTTATTTTATTTTATTTTATTTTATTTTATTTTATTTTATTTTATTTTGTTTTATTTTATTTTATTTTATTTTATTTTATTTTATTTT